GGCCCCGGTGCTCGCTTCCCGGGGCGGGGCTGGGGCTGGGGGGGGACCGGCGTGTGGGTGCGGTACAGCCCCGTGAAAAAACACCGAGAGAGAGAGAGGCGTGAGAAGTTACGTGTTCAAACGCGTGAAGGATCTTCTAACAACGACATTCTTCACGAGGGAAACGGAAATTTCAGGGGAGCGTTTTCTCCTAAGTTACATCGTCGCCTCATTTACTTCTTCGGAGCTTCAGTCTGAGTGCTGGCCTTGCCTCTTCTTCTTCAAATGCAAAGTAGTTCAGAGGTGAAGTTGTAAACGTAATGGCCCACGTCATTTTTGCACTTTGCATTTCACAGATAGCCAAATGCCCAAATTTCCAATGAATTTCCACAACTTCTGGTGTCCAGCTCAACGTGCTGTTATGAAGTGGGCTTCAGCAAGTAGTAAGAAGAAGAAAAAATATTCAGGAACAAAACTCTGTGAAGAAGAGTGCAGGGATATGAACAGGGAGAGAGATGCATGCAAGAATTTGGCTCCAGCTATCCCCCAATGCTAGCAGATAATTACTGGTAGAATCTTCCCTTGGGTCTAAACTGAACCAAGGACTGACTGGAAGTAGCATTATATTGTCATATAAAAACCACCGCCAAAATAGTGGTGAAAGGAGCTCAGCAACCAGCCTGGACAAAGATGACCCTTCTATGCTCTATGGCATTACCAGAACAGCACAGGTCTAGAGGGCAGTTCCTTTCACAAATGGCAACAGCATGCAGATGATGGCATTAAACCGTGTATAAAATTGCACAGAAGACTCCAAACTAGTTATCCTCTGAGCAGAAGAGAATTAGGATGGAGTTTTAAGTTCTTTCCAGAGATCAGTTTTCCTTGTCCCTTATAATGACACCAGTCTGATTAAAACAGAAACAGCAAAGCCATGCCTAGATAAGTCTCTAGCTAGACAGAGATAGTGTATTCTTAGTATCTTCGCAGACATACATATAAATGCATACATCTTGATCCAAGACTAGAAGGGAAACCATTAAATGTCATTCCAACTTACTTAAAGAATTGTGGCTAGAAAGTCACAGCTGAAGGATTTTGGCTAATCATCAAGTGAACAATGTCAAACACTGAATGTCTGGACAGTTTCCATTCAAATAACATTTCATCTTGGGCCAACTGTATTTACAAACCACGGGAACGAAATTCCATACTGTCATTTATCCATTAGTACAGAGACAGCATTACAGTGGGGTAAGATGCAGTCTCGCTTCTGCATGGAGCTCTCCCAGTTCTCCCAGTGGTGGTAGCTCTTGCTGAGCCTCGCAAGCCCATGCTGCAGGTCTCCTCTGGGCATCTTAGATGGTATTGCCAAATTCAGAGAGAGATTCTGCAGGTATGTGGGCATATATTGGGGTAGTCTCTGACTGGTTACCTAAAATTTGAGGTGCCGTTTTACATTTAAAGCTTTACCGCATGTTTCAGAAACAACAGATGAGAAAGGCAGATGTTTGCCCCTACTTGACTTAACACTTGTATCTAAAATTTCCCTTGCTCTGCGATCTCAGACTGTGATGGTAAGGAATGGAGAAGCTGTAAAATAAGCCCATAGAGCTATACAACAAGAAGAGGATACAGCATATCCTTACATTTTAGTCTTACTCCTTGCTTTCTGCCTTCTCTTCACCTCCTCTGAATCTCTCTTCCTTTATCTGACCTACTCCTCCTTGGATGGTCATCAGTTCTCAGAGCCAAGCCGCTGCCCCTGCACCTGCACCCCCACTGTAACCTACTCCCACAGAGCCCACGGAGGCACCAAAAACTCCCAGCTCTGGTTTTGAGTCTGGAATGGACACAATTCATTGCATTCAGCACCCTCAACAGCAGGAGCTATTGCCAGGTTTGTGTAACTCCCCCAACATTAGTGTAGGAAAGCCTGGATTATCTCTGTTGCTATTTAAAAGCAAGAAGTATTTTTTCTGTAACAAAGAGGGATAGATTATTTTTGTTAGTATCATTACCAGGATAGCATAAAACAGAGTTTGGGCAGATGCTTTTCAATACTTGTCCAGAAATTTCTCCACGTAAGGAGGCATACAGGTCAGTATGACATTGTGTGATGAAAATCTCAAGTGAGGTTGCTTTTGAAGACTTCACTGGGATTCACCTAACCACAGGTGAATTTCAGCTGCATAGCTCAGTAGATGAACCAGTTCCACAGAGAACAAATCTAATCTGTTTTAGGCTTGTGCGTACATACAACTTTGATGCAATGTCATACCTACATTGGTTTGTAAAGCAAATAGAAGGAATAGAGCCATAGAATCACAGAATGGTTTGGGTTGGAAGGGATCTTTGAAGATCATCTAGTTCCAACCCCCCTGCTATGGGCAGGGACACCTTCCAGTAGACCAGGTTACTCAAAGCCCCATCCAACCTGGCCTTGAACACTGCCAGGGATGGGGCATCCACAACTTCTCTGGGCAACCTGTTCCAGTGTCAAACCACACCCAGTGTAAAGAATTTCTTCCTTATGTCCCAGAATAAATGCACTATCTGATATCATCTCCACAGCCAATACACAAAGTTTTAATGTTCCTAAGGGGACAGGAAGCTTTATTGGAGAGGTCTGTAGCAGTAACAAAATCCTCAACATTTTACCTTTCTAAGTATTTAAAGCAATAAAGTACTTGAATACCTAATTTTGTAATGATGGTCTAAAGCTTGACTTGAGCCTTGGGACACCACTTTTTATTCTGAAAAGGGTCACATACCTGTGCTGGAGCTGAGACTTTGTCATGGGATTCATGTTGCAATACCAAGAATCTCCCGGGATGTGGCTGTGGTGGGGGTTAAGGGAGGGGAGAGGGATTTTTAAAAGATGTAGATGCTGAGCATTGGCAATGAAGGGGAGTAACATGATGGCTAATTTCCTCTCATTATATGCTCTGGGTCCCAGCCCAATTTAGACCAGTCAATAGTTAATGCTACCTGGCTTCAGTCATAGATGTCCCCCAACCAATTGTGTTTTGGTGGAGCACATGGAGCCGTGCCCCTGTCTGTGGGAGACAGGCTATGAGCGTGTGAGAGATTTGTACCAGCTCTAAAGCACCGGGACTCCCCAGGGAGTTCTTGGCTCTTTGCTCAGAGTCAGACTGCTAGTCCAGTGGCCAAATTTAGTAGTTTGATGAAGAGTTGGACATTTGCAAACACTAGTACTAGTGTCCAGCTTCTAATGGGAAGTGCTAATCCAGGGCCGGTTTTACAGGCTATGGCAAAGCGAGGGAGTCAGAAATTGCAATAGGCTGAGCAAATCTTCTAATGTGCCATCATTTTTATTGCAGGGAAAAAAAATAGGGAGGAGAAAAGAAAAAAGTCCAACAAAGACGAAAGCAAGGAGACAAGACAGGAAAGCAAAGGGCGAGCAGCCCGAAGACAAAACCGAGAACAGAGGGAAAACAGCAACAAAACACAGCTGAAGAAAAGAAAAGCCCCAAATAAAGAACAGAACCTGGCACCCGTCGACACTGCACATTAACAGCCCTCCATGATTGTTTAAGTCTTATGATGCTGCTATCTCTACCAGATCGCCCTGACAGGTGCTCCAACCGTTCAGGCCGCAAATGGACAATGCTACCAGTTATTATTAAACTTTAAACAACATTCCAAATACTTCCTATATTCTCCAAGCAACCATAGTTTATTAAAGAGATTGACATGAGCCAAGAAAAAAAAAAAATCTAAAAATGGGATACTTTAAAACTGTTATATTATATGCTTCCATGCATCTGTAAAAGGCAATTAAGAAATTTTGTATATATTAATAATAGGGTATAAAATATAGCAATATAATAATGAATGACATTCAGATGAACAATGTTCTTTTTCTTTGTAAAATATTTTTCAAGCTATTGTTTAAGTATGAGGCAAGAGATATGTCTAAATCAAAGAGGCAAATCGTATCCCTTCATATATTGTACATAAATTTTAAGAGAAGGAGGAAAACATTTCTGAAGAGCCAGTAGGAACCCAAGGTTTTACAACCTTTGGTGGACCAGGACAGGATTGCCCTGTGGTTCCCTGGTCCACGCTCCAGACGCAGGTGAGAAACACCGGGGGAAAGCCAGCAGGGCTTCACAACCTGAGGGAAAAGAAGCAGAAGCATCTGCAGCTTTGAAGACTGAATCCCTGAGGCAGAAGGCGACAGAGCTGAGCTTGAATAGCACTCTTACCTGTGGGACAACACGATGTTTTCTGGTCTAAACAGTGGTACCGTGTGTGCTGTTTTATGCTTTTTATACCTATGTGTAACTTAAATCTACATTTCAAATCTTCTGGTGAATGACAAATCGTATTTGTAGGAGACAATGTTGAGTTAATAAAACCCAGAAAAATAGACCATGTAAGCATGTGTTTTTCACAGTGATGGTGTCGCCTTTTCTACTGGGGGCGGGAATCATTTCATAGCTTCACAGACAGAAGAGGACACAACTTACACCCACAATGTGCATCTAGTGGAAGAGTATCCACAACGATAAATCTACTGAAGGACAGAAATTACAAACTTCTGTCCAATTTTACTTAAATTCTTGTTCTAGTTCTTCTCTCTGACACAGCAGAGGTGGAAATCTCCACTGCCCAGAGGACAAACCAAACCCGTTGGCACCATTCTGACTATATTAGTAGCTAGAGTGACCCACAAGTCAGGCTATGCTATACACTGACTTGTTGCTCAGAAATGGATTTACCCTTTACAGAAATACATTGAGGAACCAACATGCTTCATAGCATATGTTTTATTGCCGTGCTTTCCTCAAGGGCAGTTGGCCTAGGGATAACAGCCTGCCCAGTGTGGTGCATGGACTAGAAAATGTGGCAGGCAAGCCTTCCCAGCCAGTTCCCGTCCCTATTCTCTATTTCTGTATTTCAAAGTGAGTTTGACCTTAAAAAAGGCTCTGCACAACACTGAAGCCTGTCTGTCAGGCTGAGGAAGCCTGAGTGACAGGCTTCAGTGACTTTTGCAGGAATATCCTAATCATCCAGACAGCGATGCAGGACAGTTTCCTACATTTGGCTTTGTAAGAGCTTTATCTCTTAATGATACTTGCATAGATACAGTAGTCTAATAACATGGGTGTTTAAGGCTCCCACAGCTTGCCTCCAACTTTCAGGAGAATTAGTCAAAACTTTCTGTAACCAGTCCCTGATTATAGACATATACTATATTTTTGCTGGTGAGAAGAGCTAAACGCTAAGGGCTAAATTTTACGGAGATGAGCATCATACTCATGTATGTCTGAATGGGTGAGAGAGAAAAGCAGGGTGTACTGAATGCCTGCGAGAGGCACCTAACAGAGGGAAACTGGAGTGGGGGTGGCTATCTGTGGGCTCCCAGCTCCATCACAGAACTTGCATACACCCTCCTCCAGAGTGAGCTGGTCTCAGTCTCCCATTACGGATCCTGGCAGCAGTAGTCATCTTCCTCCACTGACAGCTTCCCACCTTCTTGGCAGCAGCGACTGAGGAGAAGCTGGTCTCAGAGAAGTGGAGGGTGCAGGACCTGTGCTCAGCACTGAGGCTCTGGGTGATGCTGAAGGGAGGCACAGAGAGGAAGGGAGAAATCCTGGGGCTGCCAGACTCAGAGGTTGGTACCAAAAAATGAGGTGCAAGCAGCAGTTCTGGGCTGAGAGGGGTTGGCATCACAACAGAAAGCAGAACTTGCTGTTTCAAACCCTCTCTTGCAGCTGCAGTCACCCATCTGTCTGGGGTGCTGGTGGGCAGACAGGGATGTTCAGCTGCTCGAGAAGGATCTACTGCTCAATTTATTTCCTCCAGGGACAGGTTGTTGGCCAGATGAAGTATCTCTAGTTGGATTCAGCAAACTAGACCACCAGCTGGACCACATGGATAACTGAACCCAGGAAAGCTTTGTCCACGACTCTTAAAACTAACCAGTAGGATTGAGTCTTTTCTCTGTCTTAATTAAGTATAGTAGTTAAATGGCAAGGGGGGGGGTGTCAGATAGAAGGCAGCTCTTCATAAAAGCACAAGCAAAAACCATAAAAATGAACAAGAGTGTTCAGAGGGGAATTAAAAAGAGGAAAAAGCAAAACAAGGAGCTAAACCCAGAATGTCCCTGATCTCATATTCTCTACTACAACACTTGGAGGAGTCAAAGGAATGCCATTTATCTGGCAAAGATAGACAGAAGACTGGAAAAGCAGTATCAAGTAGTTCAAGAGCTACAGATTGAAGGAAAAAAAGAGGGTGAAAGGAAAAGAAGAGAACTTAGGATACAAATGTGAGCTTTGTTATGCACTGCCACATAAACCTTTATTACAAACTCCAGCGTGTCCCTCCCTGCTTACGCAAGTGGCAGTGACAAGAGAGATGGTTTGTCTTACCAAGAGCAGGACTTGGAATACTGTCACCTTTCAGCAAGGGAAAAAAATGTAAAAGGAATTTGGCTCGTGGCAGTAATAATTCATAGCAACAGTACCTGAAAAACCATGATATAACTTTTCCTGGAAATGATCAAGGAAGATGCTGTCATATTGTTCCCTCCCACACAGGATAATGTTTGATAATATTTTCTGTAGCCATGGTGAAGCACTAAAAAGCACACCCAGCTCATCTGGGCAACTAAAAGTTGCTCCAATCCTGGCACTGAATGTAGACTACCCTGATGGTAGGTGAACTACTCCATTGGAACTCCCAAGAAACTGAAGAAGAATATGGACCTTTGTAGGTCAAATATATATTGCAGTGACACTTCTCACCCATCCAGCAATAAATATGTAAAATCGGGAGTCAATGATCTTACGTGCTGAGTAAGAGCTAATGGGGACTCTTATGACCTTACTGGAGAGGATCTGATTAAGTACTGCAAGTAGGTGTGACTAAATTTGTGTGAAAATTCTTTCCTGACAATTACTTCCCCATTACAAAATACCTCAAAACCTTAAGAGTCAATTTTAAGTAATTTCCAGAGGAGGATTATGAACAGAGCAGGGTTATGAACAATGTTTCTGAAAATGGGAGCTAAATTGAATAAGTGTTAATTGTCAGCCAAATTCATAGTGTGTTAATTATTAAAGAACAGTTCTGGAATAAAATACTAAATATCAGTTATGGTCGGTAGATATACACAAATGAGGTGCTATTTCTGACAGTTAAGGTGCTCAGGGAATTATAATCAGTAACAAAGAGGCAGAAAAATGCAAGAAAGCAACTGTTACGACCCAGCTTCAGATCTGTCTGACCAAGCTGTAGCTTATTCTCTCACCTAGCTCCATGTTAGTGAAGACCTGAATAAAGGAATCCAGTGTTAAGGTATCATCAACAGTTTAAGCTCTGAACTGCTGAACCCTGCATTGAAATTGTCCCAGCAGCTTTATTCTGAGCCACCAGAGCAGATTTGTCAGGCTGACCAATGCACTGAGTAAATGACAGGTTTTGCTGTACCCTGTAGTAAAGTGGCAGCAGAAGGACCCATCAGCAGAATGGGACCATCCCCATCACCAGTCATCCCCCACAATGAATGTCTTGTGTCATACCCTCTACCAACTGCCTCTGGATACTTGTGGTTGATAAGCTGATGGGAAAGCAGCACATGAATATTGTTACTAATTCAGAAGTATTCCTCTATAGCCCTCGTGAGTCACCGTCATTTATTTTTTGTTTCTGTGGTTTTAGGCTCTGAAACATTGAAGGCTGAACTTTATGATGCAGCATGAATGTACCATGACTCTTGTACTTAATTGCTATGCATTGTTATTTTCAGAGACAGCACTGGGTCTCATTCGCATGGTTCACATGAAGCTGCAAGAATTTGAACAAAAATATCTGCACGGCATGACATAATAGCTGATCACGGGAGCCACTCTTCGCAGTGACATTCGGCAAGTGGTGGCTGAAGCTCCAGTTTCAGGCTTGCCTAAGTCCAACAGGGAGGGCTTGGGCAGCGCTGCCACATTTTCAGGCTCAGATCTGCTGCTTCATTGCCATTCCTTAGCACAAAGCTTACACAGCAAAGATCTTGCACTCTTACGCAGCAAGTGTATTCTGCAGTTACACATCCTCAAATAATTTTCCCATATGGCCTCTTGTTAACAGTGGATTAGATTTTTCCTACTATTTTGTTATAAACTGGCATAATTTAAAGAGAAGTTAAGTCAACATGTTTGTTCACCATTATAATAACCCATCTGTCCCCTGCATCTTTCCTAACTTAGCACTGATATTCCTAGGGGATTTAGGCCTGCTCTTTCAGACCCAGAATGCTAATTGCAATTGCCTTTGAGAAACGAAGAGTACCCACTGATTGGTTTGGCACAGAAATTTCTGGTTTTCCATGGGTAGATCAAATTTTTGTTGATAGTGTTCTCTAGAGCATTTCAGAGTACTAATAATGTCCATATCAATCCCTCATACACAAGACAGTCATTCAATTTCTTAAAAAACAACTCTCTGCACTCCTGGAGAAGGCTGTTTGGAAGTGCATCCTTGCCTGAGGAACATTTGTTAAACATTTTTTTAGATATAAGGCTGTCTGAGAATGATCATGAGTATGTCAGCAAGAAAACGGACCTTTAAAGATTTTTTAAATTGGCCATGTGGTGCTGCTTTTTAGAATTTACTAAGTATTTCCTAGAAGTCTCAAGATGTATTTCAGCACCTTGTGGCTCTGTTTCCATCTCAACCTTACCTCATCCAATCTGGGCTGTTCAGGGAAAGGTTAATAACAGGTACAGTAATCTCCACCTTCCTCTTGCAGTGCACACGCAGGTCTGCACTTACACTGTGCATACGTCTAAATTACTCTGTCCTGCTTAGCTCACATAGACGCTGTAGATGCATTTGGTTTGGGGTCATTAAGCATTCTCTTTTCTGACTGGCTTTTCTTCAGTTAGGTACACGTATCTTCTGAATTTTCTGTCTCCAGCTGAAGTTTTGAAGCTCTGGTCACTGGGGTCACACATAGGAGGAAAGAGCAGTCTCTGATTCACCTTTATTTTTGCTTCTTCCTCCTGTCTTCTCCACGTTCCATCTAAGTCTCCTTTCCTCCCCTTTTCTTCTTCACTACCTCCATTCTCTCCTTCTTCTAATCCATCTTGGATATTCTCACTGACAAACCTAACTGCTACCTGAGTGGCAAACTGAGTGCATTTGACTTTTGAGTCTCCTCTTTTTCCTTCTCTTCACACCTTTCCCTTGCTTATCTTACTTCAGTTTTTTCTTCTTATGAAGGCTATGAAGCAAATTGAAACCAAACTGTCTCACTACCAGACTCGCTTGTAATCAAGGAGGCTCAGCCTGGGCAAAGGAGGGTAAGCAGTCTTTCTCACATAAAATTGGCAGCACAACTTTTTCTGTAATCAGCACTGTGGAGGCAGAAGAA